GTTTTCAGTGTACTTCAAACACAACTGTTCTTGCTGAAGGGAACATCTCAAATTTTTACTAACAATACTGAAGCATGTCCCTTGTTTCTGTTTAGTGAGGTTTATTTTCAAAATGCTAACAATATGATTACTCTGGGACTATTTGGAAACGCCCTAATAAACTTCTGATCATCATCCCCTATTTAGACAATATTTCAATTGACTCTTGGGGACGTTGCGCATTTAATGAGTTTACAGATATCTGCAAAATGACAGATTCTCAATGTTCTTAGTTTTCCCTATTTGTGTCATGTCGACTCTAGTAAAGAATGTAATTCAATCTGAAGTTTTCATCTGTGAATTAAAGTTTTAGTTCAGCAAATTTAAAATCATTGCTTGTGAATCTGAATTGTTGTCCCATAAATTAAGCAGTCTGTCACAAGAAATTAACCAATAATACATGAAATAGCCTATATGTTGTCGAAATATCGAACCCCTTAACTGTCGCATTGAGGTATTATTTTATTCAGTGGTAATCGATAGCAAGGATGATCAGAGTAATAAAATATTTTCTCTAAATTTACTTTGGCCATCTTTTGAAATGTAATACAAATTAATTATAGATGAATCACTGTTTAGATGTGCCAAATGTTACCTGAAGACTTTGATTTAATTGTTATTCGGTCTATATATATGAAAATTTCTGCTTACAACATTTGCAAGAGTGATTTGGATTATGAAACAATCTAAATCCAACGTTAAACCTATCAACCTTTCATTGTTTTATTTCGTTGATGTTATCTCTTGTGTGATTGGTCAATGCATGGACAGATCTTCAAATTCTGTGTTTTACTCCTATCAATTTTGGCTCTGTTTTGAGTCTGGGGTTACGTCGAAAGGACTATAGAAGATTTATGAATTACTGAAAAACTTCCAATCATAAATTAAATTTAAAAACAACAGATTAAGATGTTTATGTTTGATTAAGATGTTTGATTATTTTAAAGTTATAAAATGACACAAATTAGCCTTTGAAAAAGTGAATTGATCACCAACAAATAATTGAATATAAAAACTGTTACAATTCTAACAGCAATTTCGAATTACTCTTTATAATACTCATGATGAACTTTATATATATATTTTGGAGATCGGTGCGTCACACTATCTCCTACATGCAGCATCAGTTCTGAACGCCTCTCTCTTGACTGGAGATCTATGTTGAAAAGTAATTCTTTGTTGTTGTGGTCACTCTTCACTCCCGCTGAGATTCGAGCTAGATTTAGTCTATTTCCGCTCACTTTTTCTTGGAATGTCCTGAACTGTGTTCAAATCATGCAGTCTTGGATCTTCCTCCTTCACTCCCCAAGCTAGTTAAGAACTTTTCATGCGATCACAAACTCTACTAAATTAAATCAGTGGCCAACACGTTTAACTCAAATGGTCAACAACAATTACAACACATGCAAAATAGAAAATGAATGAATATTGCTTTCCACAAATCAGCAAAACACAGCGGACCACCTAGCTTACTATATGGGAATTCTCCTTCCAAGAACCAATACATGTATCAATAAGGTAGACCCCTCTAAGAACAATTACTAACATGTTATTTCCAATTTGCATCATACTTACAAATAAACCTTGCATGTCTCAATGTGTTTCGTTTCTGTCAAGGGTCGAGCCAACCACATAAAAGGGTGTTTCTTCAAATTAACTGAATCATAACGGATTCTTTCTAAAATTCTACATAGTTACATACGCAAGATAATCGGAACATAATTGCTATTTATACCCACCAGCCACAGCCAGACCATTCATCTAAAGGAGTGGTCTGTGGTATACTCAAATGAAAATAATTCTAAAATAACAT